GCAGTTTATTAGAAAGAAAATGTTGTTTTTGGTCATTTATTTTTAAATGATTGTTCTGCTGTCAGGCTCTTCATGCATTAATGTAGCTGCGTCTTTGTTTGGGAAATCAGCTCTGCTGCTGCTACGCTGTGGCCCCTGTGGCCCCCGTACAGCGGAGGGTCAGAGACCCAGCAGCAGGTCACAGCGTTCCATTTAAACCTCGGAGGCTTTAGCGCTAAGGTTTGATTTATTAATTTTCTTCTGCAGACGGTATCCTGTGGGGAACCTGCAGCGCCGCGGAAACACTGGGAGCTCCGTGATTTGGAGAATCTGAGCCTCAAGCAGCTGAATTCAATCTGCGCGTCTCTGAGAAACAACATTCAAGGTAGGGAGAGTTTTCCCTCACGCAGCCGAAGGCCTTAAGGCGGTATTTAGAGGTTTGGGTTGAACTTGTATCCCTGACAGACCTGAGCTCGGAGTTGGTGAGTCGCCTCCATGTCCGGGACCAGCTGAGGACGGAGCAGGACGCCATGCTGCTGGAGGTGCAGGACCTGACCTCCCTGTGATCCCTCCCTCCCTGTTTGGGTTTGCACGCATCCAGGGTCGGCGGAGCCTCCTGAACCCCGCCGAGGATGCAGACTCTTACCGCCGCGCCGTGGTTACCGACGCTGGTGACTCATCGGCAGCGGCGCACAGACTGACCTCTACGACCTCCGCTAACCGTTTAACACTAGAACTCCCACGGCCGTCATTTGGACGATTCTGAGATTTTAAAGGGAAAGAACTTTATTTCCATTAATTACATGTTTTCCTGTTTCTATATTTCCTTCATTTTCACCTAATTTTTTTTTATTTTTTTTTAAAAAGTAAAAAATCAATCTGGTTAATTTGACCTCGATCTCCCACAGCCGTCATGGTTGATTGACGTTCGGTACGGAGGAGGATTAGGGCCACTGAAACAATGTTTAAAAAGTTCACTGATTTTTACATTTTATTTCAGTTTAAGTCAGAATTCTGACAATTTCCCATAATTTACTGAAATAGAATTTAAATATCAGTTAACCTTTTTTTTTTATTATAGGGCTTGGTTGTCATGACGTAAGCACTTTGCGTGGCCGCCATCTTGATGGCCTCTTTTACCGCTGCTCAGACTACTGCCTATGACTACCGGGTACTGTACTCCCTCTCAGCCGTGTTTTAATTTGATTAATTTCACCTTAACTTGATTCAACCATGATAAACCGTTGCTGTATTGTGGGCTGTAACAGCGCAACACATGATCGCCATGGAAACATAGAAAATGGGTTAACTTTCCACCGCTTTCCTGCCTGGAGGCGTAACCATGCTTTTTCATTCTGGTAAGTTAAAGATGCACTGTTTTATTTTATAGCCTGCTTTGTTTCTTTCCTTCAAAGTTGGGATCTTTTACGGGAAAATAATAAAAACGGCAGCGGGAAAAGGCTCAAATACGTGAGAAACCCG